TGGTCTCACCCAAGATGGTGGCTCCTGGAACCGCTGAGCATCCCGGACTAGAAAACAGAGGATTTCTTGCTTCTGCCACAAATATCCCTAGCTGTAAGCCTTCCAACCTTATAAATATTCCGTTATATGTGATTCCAAGTTCTGGGACCATCCCCTGAGCCTGTTTGGTGAGGTTTTCTGTGTTGTTGCTGACGGAGCTCTTCACTGCACTTCCACCTGATCCGCCATCTTGTTTGTTCTTCCTTTATTATTATTTTTGTTTTTTCAAGAATTAGAGTTTTGTTCTAATAGTTTTCTCCATTCTAATCAGGACTCTCCTCTCTGTTGTGTCCCTGGTCAGAACTCTTGGTAGTAGTAGTCAGGACCCAGGTCTCTGAATCGATGAGGCTGTGATTCCTGTAGGTAATTGTATCTTAGATGGCTGCTTCCAAGCTTGTAAAACCCCAGTCACTACTTACCATACTAGGATGTAGAATATAAACTTTTTAGACTATGTTGTGTTGGTTGACCAAGTTGTTCCATGGAATTATCTATCTTCTGGGAGCAGATCTCCTGGCCTTTTCTCCCACAGAGATACTGCTGAATGCTTAACCATTGTGCCACAAGGTGTTCCTTATTAGACTGTTCAGTTTTGTCTCAACAATCAAAACAAAAGAAAAAAAAATTCTCTTTATGTCAATCATAACAGCTTTTGGTAGCATGCAATTTTCACAACAGCCCTGCAGTCATCTATACTCCATGTTGTATACAAATCATCTTATTTAAGGGTATTTGGTGGTGGTGTTTCGTTTTGTTTTGCTTTTGAGTAACAAATATTAGAAACTCACTCAAACTATACAAGTTGAGGGAGTTTATAATAATCACACAGAATAATAAGTAGACTTACACAGTATCTTAGAACAAGAACCATACTAGGACCAAGTCTCACTGAAATTAGAGCTGGGGCTAGATCTGGGGTCAAGGCTGCTCTGGGATGCCACAACAGCAGGTCGAAGACATTTATAATATGTTGTTCCCTGCAATTCTTGAGGCTTCTTTCTTTTTATCTTACTACCACCTAGAGAATTCCTTCTTTGCTTTCAGCTAATTTTCCTGCAAAAGAAAGAATTTGATTGACAGAGGTCACCTTTTTTTGCCATTCCACATAGATTTCTGGTTAGCTTGTTATTAGGTTTCCAGGGGTTAGGTGCCTATCACGATCTAATCACCTATTACTATCTGACAGGGCTCAGAAAGGGACCATATGGTTCTGGCAGTGTTGCCCTTTGACGGGACCTCTGTCTGGTAGGCACAGTGTCTTAGATCTCTAGTGCTGCTGTAACAGAAATACCACAGGTGGATGACTTTAATAACCAGATTATATTCTCTCTCACTGTAGGAGCTAGAAATACAAATTCAGAGCGTTGGCTCTTGGGAAGGCAGGCGTTCCCTTTGTCTGTTCTGGGGAAAGGTCCTTGTCTCCTTTGAGCATCTGTAGGCCCTGCATTCCTTGGAGATCTCCATACATCTCTGCATCAGTCTTTCACTGGATCGAGGAGCTTCACAGTGCAGGGACCCCAGGCCCAAAGGATGCACTCCACTCCACTCCCAACTCTTCTCTCTTGGTGGTAGTATGTCCCTCGAAGTTCTGCTCACTTTACTCTCCTTTTATATCTCAAAAGAGATTGACTCAAGATAATACCTAATCCTGTAGATTCTAGCTGTCCTCATTAGCATCATAAAAGTGAGGATTTACAACACTTAGGATAATCACATCAGATCAAAGCTGATCACATCAGATCACATCATAGGGCTGATTGCATTATTTTAATTTTTTTATTGGTGGATTTTTTTTTTTTTTATTGCGTTATTTTTTATCTCATGGAGATGATAACTTCTGAACCATTGAGAATTCTGGCTAAGCCAAGTTGGTACAAAACCTGAACTATCACACACACAGTGACTATCATCTCTAGTTATACCTCCCACCTGACCTTCTTTCTCTGTCATCTACATACAGCTTTCTTTCCATGCGTGCAGTTTTAATACCTCTACCTCCTGACCCACACCATCACAAAGACCCTTTGTCCTCTTGGCAGTGATACAGTCTGTAGTCATATTTCCTTTCCACAGTCACTGCCCTCAAGAACAAATGCAAAAATTTTCTGTCAGTTCCAGAGCCTCTAGTCTTCTGGTGATGGCCAGCCATACTCTCTCGTTGTCTGATAAGGCTTTGGAAGGTAGTTCCATCTGTCCATGGGTTTGTAAGATTACCCACACTGATTCATTCATATGAATGTCCAGAACAGAGAGACAGAAAGTAGATTGGTGGTTGCTTAGGGATGTGAGTAGAGTGGAGGGGTACGAGGGTGATTTAAAAAAAGGGTATGGAGGGGTTTTTTTTGAGGTGATGAAAATCTTCTAAAATTGACTATGATGATCATTGTACCTATCTGAGCATAATAAAAACAATTAAAGTGGATACGATATATGTTAAATTGTTTAGTATGTGAATTAAATCTCAATAAAGCTGTTAAAAATATAAAGATTACTTACCCTCATTCTGGCCCCCATGGGATATCACAGTCCCTCCATCCCCACACATGCCATTTCTCTTTGATAGTCAAAGACAACACAGTGGAGCTCTTTATTTATTTGTCTTCGTAGTGGCACAGTAATATGAAATGGTCCAGTGGTGGTTTTAGCTTTCAGTGTAATAGGATAATAGTTCACCTGATAGAAGTACACCAAGAAATCAGAGTCCAGAATCTTAGTGATGGAGAGAGACCCTATTTACCAGTGTTTTTAGGAGTAGTCATGTGGCCTCACTGCCACCTCTTTGTTTTGGTTTTCAGACTTCAAGTTTGAGTTTTGGGAGAGACAGTCCCATTTGTTGATTGCTGGCTGATACATGGACTGTGAGTCTGATGCTCCTGTCTGGTCTCATTTAGTATAATATAATTTCCATTAAATTTTTAGTGTAAGATTCAGTTATACTAAATTATATTTATTTGTTTTCCTTTAAAAATATAGTTAATGTAGTTTTTATTGTAAAATGTGCCATAAAATAAAAGAATGTAATTTGTTATCTTGCAGTGTGATTATATTAATGTTCCAACTACAATATTTACACCTTTGGAGTACGGTTGCTGTGGATTATCTGAAGAGAAAGCTATTGATGTATATGGAAAAGAGAATCTCGAAGTAAGATTGTTTTATTTTTCACTTTCTAAGAATATCTCTTTTAAGCAGTCATTGGTCTTCACAGTAGCTATTTTGTTGTTTTGTAAGTTACTATGGACTCATGGTTTGGCATTGTAGGATAAGCACTAGACTGAGAACCACACAGTCAGCAGTTCAAACCTACCATCCTCTCCTCGGAAACCCTATACAGGGTCACTAAGAACCGACGTGATGACATTTGACAACAACATAGTTAAAGGAAATCATATTCCTCTTATAGGAGAATTAGAAATTAAGTAATTTAAACTCTGTCTCTAACAAATTATTAAGAAATACAAATGGAGAAAGAGGGAAGTGAAATGTGTTCAAGTCCACAATTTAGTTGGGTTACAAGCAATAAAAGTCTGCTTGAGCAAGCTTATTCAAGGAAGTGGAAGTTACTATAAGATCTTTTGGGAATCCAAGAGTGATAATGTATCAAGGCCTTGGGAAGGGATAAAAACTAAGAAGTTGAAGGCTATCTCAAGTGTTTCATAATCTCTTATATTTGCCTGGGGTTTATGTATATTTTTATGTATGCAGACAGTTCATTCTTTTTTGCAAATAGAAATTTGCCCCTAGAGTACATGTAGCAGCTAAAATACAAGGCAACTTAAAAAGTTTGTAGAAAAATGTTATTATCTTTTAATTCCATTTTTCCACAAATGTTTTAAAGTCTCCTCATGACTTTTCTTCTCCCAAGTTTTCCAGTAGTTCTGGACTTTGGAAGAACTGATTTTTTTACTCACTATTTCTCAGTCTCAGTTCCACACTATAGGAAAACACATTTGATTGGTCTCAGTTGGGTCAGGTGTTAACTTCTATTTGGAATGGCTAGTAGCCAAGATCATGTCACATTAGCATGGCTCTTGTAGTCTACATTATTGATGGGCTTAAGGTGAGTAAACTGAGTCAGCTCTTAGGTTGGTTAGCTTATGGTAGGGTGTTTACAGTCTCAAAAAGATGTCCTCTGTACATATTTATTTCCAGCTCTTTTTCACACACCCCTGCTTTGCCCTGCTCAGGCCCATTAGGTACATGAGAGGAAGAATATAGAAGGCAATACCCCAGAAAAAGGAATCTTTTTATAGAAAACATGTTCTTCATGTTTATGGGATTACTTTAAGATCTTTTTCCTAAGGTTAACTGCCGATTAGCTTGCCTGTTTTATTTTTTGCACTTTGACAGGACTAAAAATTTGGTCTAAGAGTTTAAAAATTCTTATTACAAAGGGATTTGAAGAAACTTCTCAAAATACATTCATAATTTTTTTATGTAAGTAAGGAAATCAATGTGAAAAAATGAAGGTAGGAAAAATAAGATGGTACTGGGAAAAAGATTACATTTTTGGTTTACAGAATTCATGCCCTAAAGTCCTATAGACTTGTACTGGAATTATTCCACTCTAAGTGTCCTGACTGACAGGGGGAGAAGTGAAGAGATTTCTTTGTGTTTTTATAAAAGGGACATTTTGATATAGTAAATGTTGTTCTTGTTTGGTGCTGTCGAGACAGCATAGTGAGTGACCCTATGTACAAGAGAACATAACCTCGCCCAGTCCTGCTCCATTCTCTCAGTCATTGCTATATTGGAGCCTATTGTTGCAGGTGGTGTCAGTTCATCTTGTTGAGGGTCTTTCTCTGTTTTGCTGACCCTCTGCTTTACCAAGCATTATATACTTCTTATAGTCTCAAAATATCCCTTTGATAAATATAATAGTAGATTTTATACAACTCTTTATTCTTTTTTTTTTTTAAGTTTTCATTGTCAATTATGTGTTAGTTTACATGAGTGAACATTATCTTTACATTCATCCTGTTGTACTTTGTTTCATTGCAATGATCACAGTTCCCTGCATGCATCATCAAACAATCAAAGGGTACACCCCACACTCCTGCCCCCCGGCCGCCAGCACACAACCCTTTTCCCTCCCTGATTCCTGAGTTCCCAGCCGCTCCTTCTGTCCATGTCATCACCTCTGCCTCCATCCCTAGTGTCACTGCTTCTCCGGACAGGGTTATGCACTTCGCTTTTCTCCCTTGATGGTTCCAGGGATCTCCACTCATAGACTGCAAAATCAGCCACTCCCCTCCTTTTGTTACCCTACATTTACATTTACCTTTCCAACACTCAGTCAGACCTGATGGTAATCATTCCCTATTGAACCACAGGAGTCCTTTCCCCATCAGCTTTATCAACCCCATCTAGACAGGTTGGAAACAATTCAGTGGAGGTTCTACCTTTCCCTGTGTCCTCTGGAGCTAGGTTCCTTATGGAAAGCTTGTAAGCCAGTCACTTCTTGCCTTTGTAGTCCCCCCATTTTGGGTAGCCAATGTCTTAAGTTCCCCTGCTATGTTGATCCTGTGTACCAAGGGGGTGAGAATGATCCTTATTCTACAGATTTGTCTTCTCCTTTGTCTTACTGCATCCACAAGCATAAGTCAAGATCATCCATTTACAGTGGGTTACTCCTTTTTTTTTTCCCTCTTCTTTCTTCCTCAAGTTGTGTTCTGATCATCCAGCCATTGATGCCAGGTCAAATGGGTACTAACTGCAAGTGTGTGTGTTCTTGTGCATCCTCTTTTTTTTTTTTTCTTTTTCTGAACTTTTTATTGTGAATTGAGTGAAGGTTCACAGAATAGATCATCAGTCCTACATTCCAAAGGCCACAGTATGTCATTATAATGATTGCAATCCCTTCCATGTACATCAGTTAGGTAGCAGTATTTACCTCTGTTCACTTTGACTCTTAGACTCCTCCCTGTATCTTCCACTATCATTATCTTTCTTGTGCAAGCCGCCTTCTTGTTATATATTAACTACCCTATCACCCGAGTTAACATATGTCAATGTAAAGAAAACAAAAATCTTCACCACTGGAACAATAAATAACATTCTTATCAACAGAGAAAAGATTGAAGTTGTCAAGGACTTCGTTCTTGTATCAACTATCAACACTTACAGAAGCAGCAGTCAAGAACTCAGACGACGTATTGCATTAGGAAAATCTGCTGCATAAGACATTTTTAAAGTGTTGAAGAGCAAAGATGTCAACTTGAGGACTAAGGTGCGCTTGGCCCAAGCCATGGTATTTTCAGTAACCTTATATGCATGCAAAAGCTGAACAGTGAATAAGGAAGACCGTAGAAGAATTGATGCTTTTGAGTTGTGGTGTTGAAGGAGAATATTGAAAGTGCCATGAGTTGCCAAAAGAACCAATAGATCCGTTTTGGAAGAAGTGCAGCCAGAGTGCTCCTTGGAGGCCAAGATGGCCAAACTTCATCTCTCTTACTTCAGACATATTGTCAGGAGGGACCAGTCGCTGGAGAAGGATATCATATTTGGTAGGGTGGAGGGTCAGAGAAAAATAGGAAGACCCCCAAGGAGATGGCAATCCATCTGGCAGCATCGATGGACTCAAGCGTGGCAACAGTAGTGAGGTTGGCCCAGGACTGGGCAGTATTTAGCTTTGCTGTGCATAAGGTCACTATGAGTCGGTACCAACTTGGTGGCACCTGACAACAACAACAACCCTCTGCCTAATGAATAATTTTCCCTATCCCTGGTAACCATCATAGAATATTTGCGTTAGCAAAAAAAAAAAATCTTTTTGCAACAGTGATCTCATATAATGTTTGTCTTTTTGTAATTGACTAGTTTCAGTTAGCGTAATGTTCTCCATGTTCATCCATGTTATGATGTGTTTCGCAGATTCATCATTATTCATCAGTGATGCATATAGTATTCCATACTGTGTATGTACCAAAGTTTGTATCATTCTGTTACTCTCTGTCTGTTGACTGGTATGTTTAATCCATTTACATTCAGTGTAATTATTCATAGTTCTGAATTGATTGCCGTCATTTTGTGTGTGTGTGTGTGTGTAGTGTTGCTAGTTTCTTTGTTCCACATAAATTTCTGCTCTTCCATTTTGTTTTTGAGTTTTCATTTTCTTCATTGCTGCTGTTTTGATGTTTACTAAATCTTTCTGATTTTACTTTTTATTTTGATGTGAAGATGTATTAATTTTCTTTGAGGTTACCTTGGAATTTATTCATTTTTTTCCCCATTTAAAACAGCCTGCTTTACTTTGAAATCTAATTGACTTCCTTGCCATTTGTAAGTTCTGTATCTACATTTTTCCTTCTTTTTGATTTTTAATTGATAGTTGACTTGATTATAAATTTATATATCTGGTTCCCTATTTTTGGTCATATAGGTTTGTTTCACTTTGGATATTTCTACATCTGGATTGGGTTCTGGGTGTTGTTGTCATATATGTTAATATCAGGTTGTTGTGTGCTGTTGTTAGTTCTCAGTCCAAAGAGTACCCTTTAGTATTTTTTGTAGTTGTGCTGGTTATTACAAATTCCTTTAATTTCCGTTTATCTTAAAAAGTCCTAATTTTGCAGTCGTATTTGAGCTTTCTGGGTATATGATTCTTAGTTGACAATTTTTTTCTTTCAGAGTTTTGTGTGTGTCATGCATTGCCTTCTTGCCTGCATGGTTTCTGCTGAGAAATCAGAACTTAGTCTTATTGGTTCTCCTTTATAGGCAGGTTTTAGTTTTTTCAAGCTGCTCTCAGGATTGTTTCCTTGTCTTTGGTTTTGGAAAGTTTGATTATGACACATCTTGGTGATTTTCTTTTGGGATCTCTCCTGTTTGGGGTTCATTCAGCTTCCTGAATGGTTGTCTTCTCTTCTTTCATGATGTTAAGGAAGTTTTCTTTCAGAAACTCTCTGAAAATTTTCTCTGTGCATTTTTAAAATCTTTTCCTATTCTGGAATTCTGATCACCCATAAGTGATTCCTCTTTATGCTGTGTCCCATGTAAATCTTGGGCTTTCTTTTGATTTTTTTTACCTTTTTGCAGATTGTTCTTCTAGCTTACTAGTATTTAGAGATTTCTCTTCAGACTCACTTATTTGGACTTCCATTGATTCAGATCTGCTCCTTTGTGTTTTCAATTTATTGTTCATTTCT